GCGGCCTCCTCTGCCGCGGTATGCGTGTGGTTGCGGAACCTGCTGACCAGGTTGCGCACCAAAAGCCTGCTTCAAGTTGGAGGACTCCTGAAGGCGCTCATGAAGTATATGCTGCTCAACCTCAAGAAGTCTAGGATGCAAAATGTGGGGGGGGGGGGGGAATTCATGCGGAAATAAGGATATGGTGCCCACAATCGACCTATACTCAGGTCCAAATCCATACAGAGTACTTTGCAATAATTCCTTATCAGTCACAGGAGAATTTATTGCAGCTAGAGCATCAGCCAGATTTTTAATATCACATAAGTAATGTTCCATGGATCGACTCTCTTTCTTTTTAATGGAATTCAAAGTACGCTTAAGTTCCATGGCTCTAGGTAGACTAGCAGACATAAAACGAGTTTGTAAACGATCCCATATACTAGCTGAATGTTTAATATCATGCACATCAGTTAATACATCCCGAGTGAGAGTAGCAAACAACCAGGAACGAATTGTTTAATCTACTCTAAGCCAATGATAGTAGTCGGTATTAATGATTTGCTGATTATTAAAATTCACTTTGTACATAGGAGGTACCTGAATAGATCCATCAAGAATGCCAAAAAGTCCTTGAGATACCAAAAATGATTCCAATTGTGTGCGCCAGGTAAGGTAATCTTCCACAGCCTTGAGTTTAATTGTCACAATCTGGCAGACATTAGCGATGTCGTTAGAAACTGATTGTGCTAGCGACGCCATAGGAGAGCCAAAGAGGGAATTGTCAGTAGGTCTGACAATACCCGGGGAACCAGCAAAGGAGGGACCGAAGAATTGAGTGGTTACTGGCGGCAGCGGGCGTGGTGTTGGCGGAGGAGCAATTGGCCAAGAGGCTTCAGGAGATGGAACCTCCACGGGTGAGAAGTGAGGCATACTTGGCGTTCATGGACCTGTAGGATTTGGAACTGAAGCATTCTGACAAGGAAAGTGAGGCGGCAGATTATGAAAGAGGGAGTAGTTGCTCGGCATAAAGTACGACGGCTCTGGAATTGAGGGGACCACGGTGGAGGAGGCCGGCTGCGTCATTATGGAGGAGATGGCGGCACTTCAATTTCGGAAGAAGACTGACCGTGGGGCGGCGGTGAAGAATCCGCAGAAGCCATAGCCGCAGGTTGGAGATTTAGGAGGCGGCGGAAAAAAATTGAGGTGAGAGAAGGAGCCGAAAAAAAATTAAACCTAAGCTCTTGATACCATGTGAGATTTTGGGAAAAGGTACTCCAATAGGAGTCCTGACATATATATTTATATAGAAGAGTTTGAGATATACAAAGAAACAAGTATCCTAAAATATTCTATTAGTTGTGACGTTCTATGGAGGATGGGGCAGAACTTATTGAAGACTTACTGCAGTTGACGCTAGGGTTGTAAACGAACCGAATCGAGTCGAATAATGAGATTTTGTATTTGTTTAATTTTTTGAATACGAATTCAAATATGAAACGAATATTAATTTCGATTTGTATTTGTTTAACAATAAGAATAGTTAACGAATCATATACGAATATCGAATCGATTTGAGCATAGGTTAAGTATTAGTTAAATATCACTCAAACAACTTTTCTTATACTCCGTATTTTTTATGTTGTAAATGCATGTTATGACTTAATATGTGTTTTTAGAATTTAAATTTAGCGGATCAATGCATTTTTAGACGGTGCACAATATACTAAAGTGAATTAATTTTATGATTAATAAATATAAATCTATTTCAAACATTTTGAAATAAACACTAACACACACATGTTAGAAATTATACTTAAAATGTGTGAAATAAGTTGATAATTGTATATATCAAAGTCAAACAACTCTAATTTTATTCTTCAAATCAAATACATAATTATTTGTATTGTATTTAAAAGACATTTGAAACAAAAATTGATTTGTATACGTATTTATTTTGTGATTTATTACAAATGGGTTTGGAATCTGTATGCAAAAGTGTATATATGGGCTACACTTTTAGGGTATTGTTATCTTTTAAAAGTTTTTATAGTGTTATTACTATTATTAATATTGACATTAATATTACCATTATTATTAGTCGAATATATTTGATTAATATTTGAATCGAATACATTGATATTCTTATTTGTATTTGATAGCAACTCGAATCAAATTTAATATTCTTATTTGTATTTAAATTTTCCGAATTCGAATCGTCTTATACAAATTCGAATCATGAATCGAGCATAAATTATTTGATTCATTTACAAACCTAGTCGACGGTGGTGGAACAGTCGTCACCGGCGATGACAGGAGTGCCATTGACAGCGGCGGCAGCAAATAACACGGCGGGAGATGGCGATGGTGGCAAAAAATGCTGAGGAAAAAATTTGGGGTTTTTTTGCATCGCCGGATCTCTGGTGACTGGCGACGGCGGGATTCTGGATGTTGTTTCCAAGGCCGTCGGATGTCCGGAAGTTGGCGGTCGGTGGAGGAGGAGATGGCTGCAGCAGTTGCTCCATGGTGGTGAATGGTTCTGGTGAGATTCGTACGCGTGCGGAGGAGATGCATGCAGTTGTTGGAGCTTCTCGTTTTTTATGACAAATTGGTCAAGTCATGTTATTTAAACTCCTATTAAAAAGTAGACTCCTATTTATGCATTTTGTAGCTTATTTACTCCTATCCACGTAATTTTCTCTATTTAAAATATATTGTATTGATAAAATAAAAAAAATGCCCCAAAAAGTAGCTAGAATGGTATTCTTAAGCTAATCAAACCACCAAAGTAAGTATAATCTTACTTATTTTGTTTATTACTTATTCCAGTGCGTTAAATCAAAAACTACATGTTTGATAATAAAAAGTTGGTTGATAAAGTTGATAAACTCGGTGAATTCATGGAAAGTTTAAGTAAAAGTAAATGTAGGATGAACGATATATTAATGTTGTCTTACAATTAAAAGAAAAAAAATTAACTTACAATTTGGATAATTGGATTAACCACTGTCTTTTTTTTAACCACTATATGTCTATGTCGTCTTTGTAGTTCATAAATAAATTCATAGTTCACACTTCACACTATTCGCATTACAGTGTTTCTACTTGGACTGTTTTCAATCCCAGAGCAGACCAGACGAAACATAAACAGATTAGATCATATTTCCATAGTTATAAAATACACGGAGATCAAACATTTATCAGACCAGATCAGACAAGTTCAGACAAGACCAGACAAGACTTAAACAGATCACACCATCAATTTTTGTCCAAAGTAAAAACATCCTACTTTGCTAAATTTAAAATATAATACTACACTTGTTCTCTTTTAATTGCAACATTGGACTTTTTACACTATTCACATATTCTACTTTGACTATATTTTATTTAGTAATGTATTATAAAATAAATTTTTAATACTTTTGGTTGGTTGAATAGCCTGCGACAAATATTGTTAAATTCTTCTCATTCTAGATTTTCAAAATCTGAATTTTTTTTAATTGTTTACTAATAAGGAATGAAAGATATTAATGGTCAAACTTGTGTGTTGTCAAACGTGAAAAGTGGACTATTGCAATTAAAAATGAACGGATGAAGTATCACAATGGTGCCACCCAAAACCATTGCACTATTGTTATTGTTAGGAGACACAAATTGCAATACTACAACAATATCAACATAACATGTTACATTACAAACGAGGGCAACCCGCACAGGTAGCTCAGTTGATTGAGAGGTGTGAAAGTTGGAACATTGATCAAGGATCAAATCCCACAGCGGTCGTGAGAATGTTACAGCTCCAGTGTGCTGGGTTAGATCTTATGCGCACAAGTACAAGGTTTAATATTATTAGACTAAGGGTATGTTTGTCATAACTAGCTGAAAAAATACTTTTGTAATTTTTTTAATAACTGTTAGCTTTTAGTGACTGAAAACATCTTAAAAAGAAAATGTGGTAATTGTTATGTAAAAAGCTAATTGTTTGATTTAGTTCGATTTGGTATACAAGTTGTTATGACTAATTAATACTAAAAGTCACAGGCTTTTTTTATGCTACTTCATGTAGCATCTCAAAAAAGATCTTTTAATTTTTGAAAAGCTCTTAAGAATTATCATGCCAAACATATAACTAGAAGCTTTTAGAGATTTTTTTTGAACAGTACAAAAGCTAGAAAGCAGAGACTTATGCTTGCCAAACATAACCTAAGTGAATCAACGTGACTTACAACCTCTCAAATGACTTGTCGTGTCGTGAAGTGGGAGGCTCTTGGGTTGAGGATTCGACATTTTAGAACATTACAAACGAGGACAAGATTGAATAACATGTATTAAAAACCCAATTTTTACTGTTTTGATTCGAATAACAGTTTCAATATGAGCAGAAGCAGCTGCTAAATGCTAATTCCAATTTAAAAGTAAACAAGTGGATACTTTCCGGACAAAAATGAGCAAGTCTAATGGTTGAACAACAAATCCAGGAAATATAATTCAGAAAGTATTTCGAAGGTAAGTAAAAAACAGAACTAATGAACTAAATGAAAGCCATCTTATTCTCAATCACTATGGCTAACTTTAATAGTATTAAGAAAATCAAAACTACCATTAACAAGTTTTGACTACTATTAGAATGTTTTTACTTGACTGTTTTCAATCCCTTACGGGACTAGACAAGGCCAGACTTGAGATCACATTAGCCTCATCATCATCATTACCTCAATGTCTCAAAGGCTCCCACCTACGATGGGGTAAGAAAGGATCGGATGTACACAACCTTACTCATGTGCTTAAAAAGCACAAGAAGACTGTTTCCGGATGACCCATGGACCATGGTGGGAACTGGGAATCACGTCCAAAATTGCATTGACAGACTGTTACTTCATAACAAATAAGGGCAAACAGCTTAGTGAGTCATTTTATTTTATTCCATTGTATTCTCAAGCCAAAAAAATAGCGAATCTTTGACTCTGTTGCAAAGATGGAAAGGGTGAGACCACATTAGACTAAATCAGAAAATTCCAATCCGAGTAAAAACATACTTAAACTACGAAACGAGGCTGAGAATTATTAATTCAAACATGGAAACTATCATCAATAAACTTTGAGTAAAGTTAAGCATCCAAATAAGAACGTTTGGTAGAAAGAACGTTTTGTAGACAAAAAGTCACACTATGCGATCAGTCTTTCAGATTTCAGTTTTAACATACAAGAGCATAATTAGTAGATGCCACACGTAATCCCTAGATTATTCTCTGCATTCCACAAGCTGCAGCTCACATTTAATTTGCACCTCACCAACAAGTTTATCAGCCTGTAGAGTAAATTTAGTTAAAAACATGCTCACATAAGGTTATTTATAGGAAAAATTGTCAAATTAGTCCTCGTACTATAGTAAAAAAGTCAATTAGGCTATCGTACAATTTAATCATTCAACCACACCCCTAACTTTAAAAAACCGTTCAAAATGACTTCTTAAGAGATTACCGAACGGTTTCCGGTTTCTTTGCTTGTCTGACTATCCATGTCACTCTTTTTTATTTTTTTCCCATTTTTAATACTCCATATTTCTTTGAATCTCCTCCCTAAGCTTAAAAAAATCTTGTGCGCATGTTGAAAAATTGTTCATCGCCGTCACGGTCTTCCCATAAAGCACTGAAACTACTCGGAGGAGTCGGAGCTAATCTACAATGGCAGCTAAGAAAACGTCTCGGAGCCTTGAGCTATTCAGAGGCATTGGCACCTCTTTAAGCTCAAAGATCTACTACAAGAGATGTCTCTCAACAACCAATGCCAAAACGGAGGAAGATTTTGTCATCGCGAAAAGAAAGCTGGTCGCAGCACCAATTTCAAAGTGGCTGACATCATTCTGGTTGGCGATGATGTTCTTGGAATCATCAATTCGGCTCTCCACCAGAGCGCCGTTGGGAGATGAGGTCAGATGAGCAGGGCCGCAGGAGAGACCGGGAGAGGGAGCTGGCTTATCTACCAGAGACGAACTTTGGTGCATCGAAAACTTCAGGGCAGCCAGTAGAGGCCTCCAGAGCAAGTGCCTGAGCTGGAGATCGCGCCTTTTTGAAGAACTGAGTATGGAAAAGTACACTGTTGATGGAGAGCTCTTTGGTCTTTTTTGCAGAGGACTTATAATTAGGGATATAATTTCTTCTCTTATCTCTAAATATTATGCAAAACATCACTGTTGTGCTTTTGTAAATATCATCAATAGTGAATGTTTGTTCCTTGCTTAAGACTTAAGCGAATCAAAGATGTCACAGGAGATAAAAGGATCGGAGCATCTGGAAGAAGAAAAGGGTGAGCGAAGGCCAAAACAGTTACCAGCTAGCCATGATTAATGCCACCTGGCTAGCCAAGTCAGCACCTACCGGCACAGTCTGTGGCTCTGCCCAAGCGGCTAAAAAACTGAATTGGTTGTTTTTTATATTTCAAGGGCTCGATTGAACGATTTGATAGTACGAGGACCTAATTGAATTTTTGAATATAGTACGAGGGTCTATTTGATAGTTCCCCCTTATTTATATTATCAACAAAGAACAATAATCAACAAACCTTTTCCTTCTTCAGATTGATCCTCACCACCTTCTCTACCTCGCATGTGTACCAAATTTCATTAATGGCCTAATCAAAGTGCCTGACAGGGTCAGCTGTAGAAGGTATAATGTTCATATAATTCTTAAATATCTTGTTTATTTATGAAACTAACCTGATCATTAAACGGCATTTAAAGCTCTAGTTGCTTGTTTTCTAAAATCTGTTGATAGTGCTTTTTTACTTCTAAGTCTTCTTTCAGCACCAAGGACTTCGAACCTGAGAACAATTACAGGGTGAATTTAAATACCAATTAGCTGGTTGCAGTTCAAATAGATACAGCCAGAAGAAAATCACATTAAAGATTATGACAAGTGTGCATACAGAACTTATGTACAACTAAAGGAAACCACACTAAAAGAATTTCAACCTCTCCTCACTCCACACCAATTCAAGCACCATGATTTGTAATGTGTTTAACCAGAGGTATGTCCACGTCCACCACCATGTCCACTGCGAGGGCGAAGTACTCTACCACGGCCCCTAGTCGAAGGAGAAGACCGCGTAAGATTTGCTGGCTGTTGTCCTCTTCCTGCTCCTTGCCTTTCTCTTTGCCTTTCCCTTGCCCTCTCTGCCAAATTAATTGTTCTCGTTGGTTTCACTTCTGTTATTACTGATGCTACCGCATTGCCACTACCCGGATTCTCATCCTTCAATGGCGCCGGTGCCACAACAATTGCAGGAATGTTAAATGGTTTTTCAACATTACTTTCAGGAAGATGATCAGCAGATGATTCTGCAATGACCTGCTCACTACCACCCCCATAATTCATCTTGTCCAGAACCTCACCCGACTCTTCTCCTCCATCACTCTTCTCATCATCTACCTCACCAGTTTCAGCAAAGGGAGATGCTTCATCTACAGCAGTTAAATTATCAGGTGTAACTGGTTGTTGTCCAGACTGGCCTTCAACCTCTGGACTCCCCATTGACAAGTTACAGCCTCCTTCAATGTCAGCTACATCTGTTCCTGCAAAGAGCAGCTCTCCCTCTTCCATTTCATTTCCAGATTCTGTTGCTGTTGAGTGGATGACGGGTTCTTGTTGTTGTCCCTGAACATGTTGTTCATCATTCTGTACATCTGCTTCCCCAAGCCCACTACTATCAAAAATGTCATCATCTCCTATATCATCGCACCTGTCACTCTGCAGGTTAGTCTGATCAAACGAAATTCCCTGTTCAGCCAGCTGTTGTTCTCCCCCTGAAGACATTGCCTCATCCTTCTCCTCATCATCCTCTTTGAAACCTTGTGCCACATCTTCAACAACATCACATCCTTCATTAGACTCGGGAACCGAATTCATTGCAGATCCGTCCTGAGATATTATTTCTTGACCCTTTGGTTTTTTCAGCAATGGCTGCACAGGATCAGCCCTTGCTTCTTCAGAAGCTGCTGGAGTCTCTTCTTGTTGTAACTCCATAGTAGATGGAGCTGATGGGCGCTTACGAGCAGAAAGCTGAGAAGGCACCACCATGGAATGAACATCTCGAGTTTCCACAGTTTGCAAAGCAAACTGCTTTCCACTTGCATCTGCCTCTTCTGCCATCTCTAAATCATCATTATGGGGGGGTTCTTCAGGCTTTATGATACGGGGACGGACTAGCTTCCTGCCTGTTTTACGGGCATCAGGGTTACTCAACTTGGACAGCATCAACCTCTTCCCTCTTTCATCTTCTGTTTTAGTCAAAATAGAGAGGGTTGGGACACCGCTACTGGTAGTTGGCACAGTAGAATCCACCACCACTGGACCTACCATAGAAAAAATAATAATAAAAATTATGCCATTTCTCAAAAGATTTATTCACAATTGAAGGACAGAATACTCAAAACAACTGAAGGTGACCACGTGTATAGTACCACTAGGTAATGACTCTGGGGAGGCTGAAGAAATATCGGCAGCAGCGGGAGCACCACTGTCTATGAAAATAGGTTGAACAAGTCGTCCAAAATTATTTACAGCCTGGAGATAAGCAGCAGTGAAGTCCACTAAGCGGGTTCCTGCAAGAAGCTGCTCCACTGAAACACCCTCATCTGTCAACATTTTAAGAGCCTGCTTATGCTTCTCCAGTTCATCTAGTAGATTGGACTGTTGTTGTTTAACATTCTCATATGAATCCGCACATAACTTTTGAGTCTTCAAACGTCTAACCTTCTCAGTCTTATTTTCTTCTTTTTCTCTTTTCAACTCTTCTCTGTGTCTTTCTAATGTTTTCTCCAACATATGTATTCTGGTGTCTTTCTCCTTATCTTTCTCTTTTAAAGCCTGTTCAGTCACAGCATCACCGTCATTTCTTCTCGCTTGCTGAGCTTCCTCTAAACTCTTGGAGAGAAGATGCTTCTCCTTGTTCAATTCATCTTTTTCCTTAACTAGGTTCTCCAATTTCTTCTTTTGTATATGTGTTGACCTCTTGAGTTTATCAAACTCGGATCTTAAAGAAGCCTCAGATTGCAGAAGTTCATTTATTCTAGACTCCCCCTGACTTAATTCCACTTTGTTCCTTGCAATGTCTTGCTCTAATGCAGCTATTACGACTTGCTTCTCACAGACATGTTTCCTAACTTCCGCCAATTGATCATCCTTTTCCAGCACAATTACCTGCATGTGATGTTCAGCTTCTTTAACATGGTTGTAATCTTCCACATCAAAACTCTTGCACCTCTCCACCAACTCATCAATTCTTCTCTCAAGGTGACATTTCTCTCTTTTTTCAATGTCAGCTGCTTTCCTACAAGCTTCCACATCTTGTTCTCTCTCCTTGAGAAGCCTAATGAGATCATCTGCCTCAGACCTAGCTTTCTGGACAGCTTCGCGGAGTTTCTTGCACTCCTCATAATTATGCTTGTTCTCCTCCCTAAGCTGCACATTACTTTCTCGAAGCAAGTTCAACTCTCTCACCTGTTGCTGTAGGGTTGTAAATTCCTCTTCTCTATATACTAGAGCTTTAGTATTTTCCCTTTCAGCACGCAATGATGCTTCTGCTGTTTTTGCAGCCCTAACTGCACCTTCAAGCTGAGATTGCAGGCGGATTCTTTCCTGTCTCAGCAAAGATATTTCTGTCTCTGCAATTTCCTTTGATCTCCTCAAATAGTTCACAACATTCTGCATGCCATCATCACTTTCTGTAGCAGGAGTTCCAGAACTTATTCCAGTTGAAACACGATCCTTCTCAGCATATTTGATATGCATAGCCTCAAGCCGACTTAACAGTATTTTGTTCTGCTCATTCACCTCACTGTATTTCTTATCAGCTTCACTTCTTGACTCTTCTAGCACTGACTTCTCTGCCTCCCACTTTGCCTTCAGTTCATCATTTTCATGTTTGAGTGCATGTGTCATCTTGCGTAGCACAGACGATTCTTCTTGCAATGAAGTCAACGCTTGAGACGTTCTAGTTAACTCTTGAATTGTTTCGGACTGCAGAATTACCTGTCGTTCATAATTAGCCTGAGCTGCCTGCCACCGTTGGTGCTCTTTCTCCAAATCGTCTTTCATGGAAGATACTTGCATCTCCAGGCTTCCGATTTGGGATGTCTTAATAGCACAATCATCTTTAAGATGGGCCATCTCAGAAAAGGCCGCTGCAAGTTCCTCATCTTTTCCAGCATTTGCAGAAGCGACCTTCTTAGCCATCAAATCAAGTTCACATTCAAGCTCCTTAATCCGCTTTCTGAGTATCGACATTTCCTCCTCTAGAGATTTCTTCACATTACCAGCCTCAACTTTGAAGTTCTCATGAATAAGTTCCATCTGCTTTAGCGCCTCTTCATTTGCCTGAGCAATGTTTTTATACTGCAGCATATGATTATTGCAAACCTGTACTTCTTCTCTCAAATTTTTAATTTCCTCTTGGGCAGTACGCAAGTCCGGAAAACACTCACTGGAAGAGAAGGGAGAACCACTCCCATCATCTTTGTCAGAGACCTTAATAGAACTCAACTTTTCTTCCAAATAAACAGCACGTGCTTCTGCAACAGCAGCCCTAGACTCAACAGTAACTTGGGAATGCAAAGCATTTGCCAAATCTTTTCCCATTTCTTCAACTTGCCTTAGAGCACTTCTTAAATCATTTTCCCGCTCGATTGTAAGATTGCGGACATTGTTGCGCTCATCTTGCAACTCTTTCTTTGCTTCAGCCCATTCTTTCTCAATGTGTTTAATATATTCCTCTTGTTTTTTCCTCTCAGCCGCCCTAGCCTCCTCACGAACTTCATAAGTGCTTTGGATTGTATCTAAACTGGCCTGTAAACGCTGAACCCTCTCTGATAATATGCGGACTTCATCAGATGCTCTCTTTTCTGAACTAAGCAAAACTTCCTTCTCGTGCTTCAGAATTGAAACCTCCATTTTTAATTTCCTTGAAAGATCCTCAGCAGCAATACGTGACTCAGAGCTGTCACGTAGGTTTTTCTGGTAATCAACAATCATATGTGAGAACTCTACATTTCTTGCAACAACAGCTTCATGTTCCTCTCTAACATGTTCCAATTCTTTTAAAGATCTGCCAAGCTTATCCTGTGCAAAATGTGCTTCCAAAGCGGATTTGTCACGCTCTGACCGTAATGATATAACCTCACTCCGTAATTTAACAAGTTCATCTTCAACGCACTTAAGATGCTCAAGTTTCTTCTCATGTGCCTTCAGCGAGACTCCCTGAGAACATTCACTTAAAATCACAGGTTCTGTGTGTTGGTTGTCTGTTGAGTCTAAAAGAGATTTCCTGTCAGAAGTGCGAAGACTATGTTCCTCTTCATATAACCTTTTGTACATATTGACAGATGTATGAAGGGACTCCATCATACGCCCTTGCTCATTAGCTCTTGCTAAAACAGCATTCACTTTGGAAGTAGCATCATTAATTTGACTCTGAAGCTCTTTTTCAAACTTACCCTTCCACTCTAATTCTCTGGTTTCAATCTGATCTGTAAGATTGCGAACAAGACTACGTAACTGGGCATTCTGTTCAACTAGGCCATTTATATCCTTGAAGCTCAACAGTTTTTCAACCTCATCAGCATCACCTTCAGCAATAACCATATTTTCATAGCTTTTTTTTTTATCTGGTGATCCACAACGGAGTTGTACGTCACGACATTCCTTTAAAAGCACAGTCACCTGCTTTTGGAGATCCACAATCTCTCTTTGAGCTACTGCATAGTCACGTTCACATCTTCTCAGATCAACCTTTAATTGTTCAACATTACTCTCTAAAGTAGCTTTTTCGGAAAGAGAACTCTGCAGCTTTTCATCTAGCACAGTGTATGCCTCCACCAACCGCTGATGCTCTGCTCGCTCATCCAATATGGGTCCAGCACTCTCCTCAATGTCATGAAGCACCCGCTCCAGGACAGCTTGAGATTGTTTCCTCCCCAGTTGCTCATGATGCAATGCATCAACAGCTTCTTGATATTTTGTGTACATCTTGGCCAGGCTCCAACCATCTCGAATAAGTGATGCAGCCAATGCTGTTCCTGAAATGCCACCAGGAAGAGTAGGTGCGAGCCAGCGATCATCTTCAATCATCCCAGTCGATGAAACTGAATGCAGGCACAACTCTGTATTGAAACTACTCAGAGAAATTGTGTTACCCTCTCCCTTGCTTCTTTCCAACTCTGTTTGACAAGATGTAAGACTTCCCTTCAAAGATGCAACAACCTCTTCTAATTCTTTCCTTGTTGAAACCTCCTTCTCAAATCTCTCTTTATAGTCTGTTTCAATTTGGTTTGAATGAGCCTCCAATGCCTTGATCACGCCTTCAAGTTCTCCTGCCTTTTTGGACCATTCCTCTGAACTCTGTTTGTATAGTTCCACGAGCTTATTTAAAGTTGAAATCTCAGATGATAATTGTTCCTCTATCCTGGAGGCCGCATCTTTTGATGATAACAGCTCCTGCTCCAAGGATGCCATCTTCAACTCCAGCTCCCTTGCTCTGTCCTTGAACCATGTCAACGAGCTAGAACTTTCACTGAATTTCCTCTCTAGGTCAGAAAGTTTGACAACCATGTCTGTCTCGTGTTCAGAATGACTTTTTCGCAGGTTTATAAGATCATTGATTTTGGTTTCCAATTCATCATTTATCCATTCATGATGCCTCTCAATCAACTCTTTCTCCTGCATTAGTCGTGAACATGAAGCTTGAGAGAGAGCCAGGTCTGACTCCAAGTTGCGCAACCGTGCTTCCCTAGATGCAGCTTGTTCAGACAACATGAGTGTCTTGTCTAGGTAGCTTTTGATGGTATCATTTTTCTCGCTAATCTCTAAATCCTTGTTCTCCAACAAATCCATCAATTGTCTTTTGGATTTATGAAGCTCGGAGGCCTCTGTAGACAGGCGTTCAATATCCCCATCCTTGGAAATAGTTAGGAGGTGAAGCTGTCGCTTCTCAGCTTGGAGTTCAGCAAATTCGGAGAGACGTTGCTCTAGAGATATGTTAAGCTGGGATTGCTGAGATTGGAGAGCAGAGAACTCAGAACAAGCAGAAACGTATTTCTGCTGGATTAGGGAACAGTTCTGCTCAGCGGTAATGGAGTCGGCATCAGCCTTAGCCTTCACCGTCTCTAATTGATTGTAGAGCTCCCTGATGAATCTGTCAGCCTTCTCCGCAACCAACCTTGGGTTGTGAGAGCAACCCTCAAATTCCTCATCTGATAGAAATAGTGGCATCTTCACCCCCTGTTTTCTCTTTCTTCTTTTGCCTTATTCCTCTCTCTGGATGATGTACCTCTCTCTAGTTGTTCCTACAAAACCCTAACCCAGCAATCAACCTGTTCACATCCAAAGCATAAGTGAGTTTTAAAATACTGTTTTGGCTAAATTCACTGAAATTGCTGAAAAAGATAATTGGTCACTTTCAGCCAGTTTCAGACATGGTTTCAGCCATGGTTCTAAAAATCACCCTAGGCGCCGCGGTGGCGCCTAGTTGCTAGGCGGTGGCCGGGCACCCTGATTTCATTGTAATCTAAATATACTACTACGTATAAAACAGCAAAGTGGTGAAGAGGTTTTGGGCGTGAATGCCACAAAGGCTTGGAAAGGTATATTGGTAATTAAAGTAGTAATAGGTGGCGGATGAGTCTTTCCATTTATCTAGGTCTTGGATGAATAAAAAGGCTGCTAGGTTTAAATATTGTGTCTTGAGCTTCTCGAAGCATTTAATTGCATTAGCCTTTTGGATTCACCGAGATGTGTACATCTTTTTCCAAAGCATTAGTAAATATATACGGAGTACATATTTATCTTCCCTGGGTTGTGCTTCTCGAAGTACATGCAGACAGAGTGTAAACAATTTAAACTAATTGTCTTCTCAAGGTTCAAGAATTAATGCAATTAAATGTGGAGTGAGGCTTGGAGGCCATTTTGAAGTATTTTTCTAGACTCCGCTCATGTTTTCAAGGTGGAATACTTCAATTAAAATCTCTTCCAATCTTGATAGCGGCTTGATTAGGTGTCCAATGCAGCCTTCGACGAATAAATATTGTGGATGCATTTCAATTAAAGGCTACATAATAAACCTTGACTTTTTGAATTCCATTGCTGCCTATATAAAAAGTCTATACTCACATCTACCATCACATGGAGCTTTAGTCAAGTGTCATGTCCGCCTTCAAACACCTGCACAAAAAAAAAACAATTCCACTCAAGCATGAGCTTCTTGAGAATAAATTGTAGCATCCACTTGAGTGGAATTGGACACTCCATTTTAGATACACTCTGTTCAGGAACATACAATTTATCCCGGGTAATCCATAGATTTAAACTAGAGTATTTATACGGTAGTCAAATTTGACTCATTTCCAATGGGTGTAGGTGAGACTCACTTAAGAGAAGGTGTGTATCTTTTAACTTTAAACAAAAGTAAGTTAAGTAAACAAATAAAATTGAGCATTTTACTTTTAACATTCCATACTGTCTGCATGACGTTTTCTGAACATTTCATACTTCCTATTAAGAATAGTAAGCATCAAAGGTTTTATAACACATTTTTATAACATCTTTAAATTACTACTTGCAGTTTGCTAGATGGTTCATTAGCAATCACTGGTAAGTGACTAAGTGTAATATTTAGCTTCGAACATAAATTGGGTTCTTTAACAAAATGTGAATCAAAGAAATATAGAAATATGCTCTGTTGAATACGCTTTTCATGTTTAATTTTGATTACCAGAAAGATGGCATCCAGTTGTGAGGTACAGCAAACAATACATTAATAATATAAAATTATATCGAGTCCAATTACTTTCAACAAAAATAATAACCTCTCAAAAAACAAATATACAAAAAAACACTTTTAGGCTAACCGATTTCTGGAGTGAATTTTGACTGGCATAGTGGCAAGTTTTCTGAAAATAAAAAACATTCATAAATTTCTGCCATTTTGGGATCTTAGGTAAATATTTGATATCTTATATTTTTCTGGATGGTTCTGTCGTTCTGCTGACGCATGTGGGAAAATCAAAATGAGTTTCTCGGTTTTCTTAGGTTTCAACAAGGATATCACCAATTTAAGTATTTAACTAAATATTTATAAAAAACTATGAACAAAATTAGTATTGAGCTCATCGATAAAAGAGGACAGAAGAAATACCGGCACTACGGATGGTTGGAAGTGAAAATTGAGAAGCGCCAATTGGCCGAGCCGCTGAAGGTTGAGTGGCTGAGAGCAGGCGACTGGGCGACAGGCGTGGTGTGAGTAGGCGACGACTAAAGAGGCGTGCTACGGTGCCGGCTGAGTGGCGCTGGTGTTGTGCTGCGTGCTGGCGTCTGACGGAGGATGAACCCGCGAAGAGAATCGTCGACTTGGCGGAGCGTTTGCGGATGATAGATGTTGATGGATCCAGACTCAGGGATGTTTGCTCGGCTTCCTCGAGCCTTTAACTAATATTGGACCTTTGGTTGGTTGGACAAGAATATTGGGCCTAATTTTTTTGGGTTTTTTGGGGTTGCATCCCCTTATCTACTTGGTTAGTCACGGTTGCGGTTGAACCGAGTTCTAAAACCTATTTCTACTTGAGAGTAGAATCGTAAAAATGAACGGGATCGACCCAAATAATGTGATTTTGTATTTGTAGTTTTTTAATTTTTGAATCCGAATTCGAATATGAAATGAATATTATTTTCAATTTGTATTCGTATCTCTCTATATAAAACCAAGCGGAAAATCTGGGGGTTTCCCCGCCCAGAAAATCGGGTCAAAAACGGGTCAAGTTATATTAGCTCATATGGGTGGGTGGGTCATCCTATTGATCTTTGTGGTTATTAATTGAACATACGGTCAATTGAAAATGACAATAGAGTCGCATTGGGGATTGGAATGTGTCCACCCAAGAGCATCTTATATGTAAGATATTTTTTACCATTCAAATAAGTTTGAATTATACGAAGTAGTTTTTAAAAATAGTAAACATGCAAAGATCTCGGATTATTGAGACTACCAAGGAAGTAACATTGGGGATTGGAATTGGACAACCCCAGGGAAAAAGTCTTATGGACAATTAATCCACAGCTTATTGCATGGGTAACATATATTATATTCTTGCAGTAGTTTTGATTTTGCATTCAAAAAAGGTAAACATGCATTAAATATAACGTAGCATGCTTTTATTTTTTGGATAAAAGAGAACACCTGCAGCCTACAGGAAAATTAAAGTTGAGCTAACAGACCCGTCCAGACCTAATATAAATACACCACTCATGTGCCATCCTACACCACGACATACCACTCACGCTTCTTCAACACAACATAGTTCTTAGCAATGGCTGAAAGCTCAAAGAAAAACGGGATGTGATCTCTTATTCAAGATATAGACCACACAGAGTCGACATGGGCATTGAGAGGACTGAAGGTTGTTCATATAAAGGTCCAAAGACTCCAAGTTCATTTGGGGTGTTGTCAATGTTCAGAGATCCAATGATCTTAGCATTGTATGGGACTTGATGGTACCATGGACTACGGCCATGGCCCAAATGCAGAATTATAGTAAAAGCCCATAAACGGGATTAGCCTCTAAACAGGATCAGCCCTCAACGGGATCAGTCCATAAACGGGATTAGCCTCTAAACACGATTAGCCTTATACGGGATCAGCCCATAAACGGAATTAATATTAAGGAATAAAGACACAAATATTACTAATAGCTTTGTGAAATACAAAAAAAATGATTACTTTTCCTTTTTTTCTCAAAATATGACTTACCAAGTCCATGATTTTCCATCCAGCCCATGACTTTCCTCTCTGAAGACAACCCGACACCATCAACCAAGGAGCTCTCAAGTCCTAAGGCATCAGAAGAACACCCCCCAGGCTGTCGCAGACTCACAGGAGCAGGGGAGACCACCCCAAAGTCGTCATCGTAGCCTCCGCGAACAGGGTAGACAGATCGTCACCGCCGCCGTCCTCGCCCATGTCTTCTCCCTACGCCTCGCCTCCATCAGTTGCCAAGGTCGCAGCCGTGGCAATTCCGCCGCCGTCGCCGCCCAATTTTGGGCTAAGTGAATTGCCTTCTTCTTCGCTGCACGATGCCTTCTTCTTGTTCGCTAGCTTCGTCGATCTCAATCTGCCACCCTATTTGAGATCTGGTGGTTTTGGGGCTGCTAGGGCTCAAGCGAGGCAAGGAGGCGGTTGTTTGGGCTGTTGCAAGTTGTTGGGCGGCACCGGGGTCACATGGTGCGGCGGTGGCGTAGTGGTGGATGCAGCAGTGGCGTGGTGGTGGTGGAATGTGGTGCTGGCGTGGAAACTTACCGGAGGACGGTGGCTGGAGTAATTGTATGTCACTGCGGAGTTGTGACTACAGAGATGTCACCGCAGATTTGTCACTGTGGTCGGCAGTGTTGGTCGGATGCGGCGATGGCCGGACGACAGAGATGTCACTGTGGTCATAGTTTGGGGCAGAGATGTCACTACAGAGTTGTCACCGTGGATGTGTCACTGTGGTCGGCGGCGGCGACCTGCGGCAGTGACACAGGTGATGGCAGTGGAGGTGTCATTGTGACCGGTGACTGATAGACTACATGTCTAGAGAGAAGGGAGAGCTAGAGAGAGAAGTTCTATATTTGCTCTGTATTAATGAATTTGTGAACCCTTACAACTACTCCCAGAGGTAGTATTTATAGGAAAAATTAGGGTTGGGCTCCCAAGTCTTGGGCTTGGGAGGCCCATTTACAATAGGGCCACTATTGGGCCGGGTACAAGAGATGTAGAAATGATTAAGTATAAGATCCTATTCTGGGGGCCACTCGTGGCCGATGAGGGCACGGCCGACGAGGGCATGGCCGACGAAGATCCGGCCGACGAGGTCACCCAATTCTCCTGGCTCCTGGACCGTATTCTGAGTAGACTTCTTTCTGGCCGATGGAGGTCATCTGGCCGACGAGGGTCCCACCAGGTGACCGTGGTACCTTCTGTTCTTCCGAGTATGTGGGCCAAGGGGTCCATGCCCATATACTCCATCAGGAGTCCCCCCACTCTCTAAGCTGAGACGTAGACGAGGTGAGGGAGAGTAGATTTCTTGCTTATGACGTTTTCTGGCCGTTGTGGGACCCTTCCTTGTCCTTAGCCGTTACGGGCACCTTTTGACCCAGCTCCTTGTTTTATGGCCGTCGTGGGTACTCAGCTTCTTGGCCGCTGTGTGGCTTTCGCTGTAGACGAAGAGGGACCCAGTCATGATGTGTATTTCCTATTTAAGGACGTCGAGTGTCTTTGCTTGGTGGGGACGATGAGCGTCCTTTGTCATGAATGGCCGATGAAGGTCATGCCCACTCCTGACAGTTGATGGCTCAATTCCGCGCTTTGGGCCGAGGAGGCCCTTGTGGTTATCTCCTGTTCGAGGATGATGAGTGTCCTTTTGTTTCCGGGTGGCCGGTGAGGGTGTTGTTTGCTTTCTTTAGTCGTTGACTGTGTTCTGTGTTTTTTGGCCGGAGCGGTGATGTCCGTAGTCTGGCGTTCACGCTTTTAAGAACGATAACGGCACTGATCCGGGAGGAGCGGTGCGTGTCCTGGTCTTATGGACGATGGTCATTTAGGTATGTTGACTTCCTGTTCTTTGATTCCTGGCTGAGAGTGGAGTATGTGGTCTCAAAGTCGATAAGTGCCCTATGATCTCAAGTGTTGCACTTTTGGAGGGAATTCTTTGTTCGCTAGCTTTGCTGCGGCCGACGGTGCACCACGAGGTTATGGACGTTGTGGTGCATGTCTGATGTTGTAGTTGTGGACTTAGTATATTTTTGGATTCCTTTGATTTTGTCCTGATTTTCAAAGGCCGGTGTAGTCCCCCAGTCCCCCACTGCTTCAGGCCGAAGAGTATGTGAGGGGTGAAGGAGTAAAGGATTTGCCTAGGCCGAAGCGGACTCTTGTGTACACCTGAATCCAATTCCTTGGCGATTTCCTGACCAAGGTAACCCTGTGGGAGAACCCTTGGACGTAGGTCGCTTTCAAGAAATTATCATCAGGGTTTTACACAGGGCCGATGGCGTGGGGTTTCTTTTTGCTTTTACCGTTGTGGCCGTTGAAAAGGCCATGCAATTGGCATTCTGTTCAAGCCGGTATGGACACGCCTTGAGATGTGACCTACCCTTTTGAAGTGTCTTTGTGTTGAGGCCGATGCAGGCACGATTTCTTAGCGTGGCCGTTGAGTGGTTGGCCTGTTCGCGATGAGCTGGTATTATGGAAGTGGGCCTGACCCGTCTTCTAAACCGGTGCCAGCCCAATGGGCCTTGGGGGTGGTGGCCGTTCATGTGGCCAATGGGAGGTTGCCACGTGTAGTGACCGTTGGGGGGAGGTCTATAAATACCCCCCCCCCCCCCCCTTCCGAGGTTCCTCGTTGCATTCCTGATATAACGAAGTGCTGTCGAATTTTCTAGAGAGAGAGAGCCTTTCCGTGTGTTCTTGCGTTCTTCAAAACTTCAAAGGTCAGTTCGTCGAACTTTTCCCAAATCACTTGTGTACTTTGCTTATTTTAGCTTTTGATCCTCTGTTAGTGGAGAAACACCCTTAGATTCAAAGTAGAAACCCTTAGGCTTTAGTTAGTTGTTATGATGAAGCCTTTGAACGACGAGTACTACCCATATGACGATGAGCCCTCTACTAAGTCTCTTGATTACCGGGTGGTAGAGGAGTGCTGTGAGGAGATAGAGGAGCTGAGCTCCTTCAAATCAGGGGAGAGTGAGGGTGAGGACGAAGAGGCCGCCTCGTCGTCTGATGGTGAGGACGTAGTGGCTTCACGTGCTGTGGACGGAGCGTCTACATCGCCTGTAATTCCTTGCCCGAAGCTGGTTTCTGCTGTAAAGGGAGCTGTTCCGACGAGAAGGCGTCGGCCAAAGAGTAGCACGGCCGATTACTTGGTGGCCCAGATGTACGTGGGGCTGTATGGAAGGGTTAAGGCGCCCAGGCCGACGGATCATGTGTTGAATCCCCCTCTGGGGTATTTTGGAGTATACCCCATGAGCTTCGCAAAGGGACTTAGGTTTCCCCTCCACCCATTCATTACGGAGTATCTGGATACGGTGGGTCTCCCTCCGGCCTTGTTGACTCCCAACAGCTACTCGCTCATCGTCGGCTTCCTTCTCCGTTGCGATGAGTTAGACTTTAGGACGACGACGACTCTGTTCATGAACCTGTACCAGATCGGCCGAGGGAGCCACAAAAATTGTGTCGGTTATGCTAATCTCCAACAGCTTCCGAAGAAGAGGAGTTTCACTGACCTCCCCTCGTCCATTCATGGTTGGAAGAGCAAGATCGTCTTCGTATCCTTGGGTGAGGACTGTACGGAGTTTCCCTCAGTTGGTCATGACGGTAGGTTCGCCTTTCACGACGTGCCGAAGAGCAGTATTTTGGATGCCCAGGTAGTGGCGTTTCTGAAGGGAGGGCCGAGGAGCGTGAAACATTACATCAA